CACATAGACTTACCAAGACTTGTATACTGGGTAACTAAATAAACACATAGACTTACCAAGACTTGTATACTGGGTAACTAAATAAACACACAAACCTAACAACACATTCATACTAGGCTATTTAATAAACCCAGACTTACCAACACCTGCATACTGGGTGGCTTGATAAACACACAGCGTGGATCAAGGTCTGTTTTCTTTACATTTTTTACACCTTCAACTTCGATGTCCAGAATACAGATACGGCATTGTTTTTGTACATCTTTCACGGCGTTTTTACTGTACAATAATAAACATTTCTTACTTATGTATAACATGAATATTTTTTTAAATTTTATTTAGAACATTCTAGCTGTATTAAAATTTAAAGTGGCTGGAAAGATGTCATCATAAGGTTTAAGTAATTTATCTATACATAAAATAATTAACAGCTTGGTAATATATACACTGTACTTTTTGAGTTATAATGGCATCTATTTTCCAAATGTTTTTTTCCCTTTCTCCAAAGTAGAATTCTGGACATATATTGAATGTTATTTTATAAATGATGTTGGTATTGTGCGATTTTACTAATGATTTTAATTTAGGGTTAGGTTTTTGAGTGAATTTGAAGTCAACAGGTATTTTATATTTAATGGCAAGTTTTGTCCAGTTGTGAATTACTTTTAAACTGATTTCAGCTATAAATAGTAACTGCAGTGTTGTTGTTTGGTATATTTAATATCAATTCCGTTTGTGACGAATTTTGAGGTTTTCGTTCTGGTGGTTGTGAGAGAAGTTTAACTGCCAGTGCTGCCAGTTGAGCAGACTTGAAGCTGTGTTTAAAAGGTTTTTTTTAGTGTATTTACTTTTTGTTTAGTTTCAAGAGAGTAATTCCAGGGGCTGTAGAGACCAGTGTGAGTGTGCTTAAGGTGAATTCTATTCGTGAACTGTGTGTTAAACCTAATAATGTTGAGGTTGTTTGTTATTTTTGTGTTAAATGGTGAATTTAATGTTATGGTGAATGGAGTCCAAAGAATGTTTTGTGTCTTCAGTAGAAGCTAATCCAGCACAAGTGTCATCAACATATCTAGGGATGATGTGTGGCTTGTGTTTTGATCTTTACTGGAGTGAACAGGTGAAACAGGATTGTTTAAACCATCTACGATAACAAGTGAAACATGACTGTTTAAACCATCTACAAGAACAAGTGAAACAGGACTTTTTAAACCATCAACGAAAACAGGTGAAACAGGACTTTTTAAACCATCTACAAGAACAAGTGAAACAGGACTGTTTAAACCATCGACAAAAACAGGTGAAACAGGACTGTTTAAACCATCGACAAAAACAGGTGAAACAGGACTGTTTAAACCATCTAGGAAAACAGGTGAAACAGGACTGTTTAAACCATCTTGGAAATCAGGTGAAACAGGACTGTTTAAACCATCTAGGAAATCAGGTGAAACAGGACTGTTTAAACCATCTAGGAAATCAGGTGAAACAGGATTGTTTAAACCATGTATGAGAACAGGTGAAACAGGATTGTTTAAACCATCTACAAGAACAAGTGAAACAGGACTTTTTAAACCATCGACGAAAACAGGTGAAACAGGACTGTTTAAACCATCTAGGAAATCAGGTGAAACAGGATT